CTGCGGCGCAAGCTCGGGTAGCCGAGCTGACGGCTCAGCTTGATTCGCCTACTGCGCCTTCCGCTTCTACGACGGATGCCCCCGGGGTGGAGGCTGCGACGCAGACTGCGGTCGTCTCCTCGTCGTTCGCAACGCAGACCATGGTCGTCTCGTCCACGGAGGCCGAGACGCAGACCGAGGCCGACCTGACCGAGAGTCGGCGACGCGACCTCTCACAGGCTCGCTATGAGCTGGCGGTCGTCCGTACTGCGCACGTCCCACTCCAAACAGATCTACGGTGGGTAACCGCTCTCCTGATCGCCCACGCCGAGGAGCACCAGCGCGACGTAACGCGCATCCGCGACTTGGAGGAAGCTGTTTCCGTGGCCGAGACTGCCCGCGTTACAGCGCAAGCAGAGTTGGCCTAAGCGCGTGAGGAGGTTCAGCCTCTCTCCGGTCGCGCAGACCTCTTCCGCACTGCTCTTCTATCAGCGCAACGTATCGCCGCTCGTCGTCGCCAGGAAAACGAGGCCCTGGCCGCGCAGCTGACGGCGCGCCTGACCGCGTCCGAACGCACCCTCTCCGAGACGCGTCGCGAGTCTGAAGCCCGTGTTGCTCGACTGGAGGGGATCATCGACGACTCCGACTGGGCCTACAACGACAGGACTGCGACGTGGCGTCGGCTACTCCGAGAGGCGCGAGTTGGTCGCGAGATCGCTCGTCGCGTACGTGACGCGCTGACCTCGCGTTTGAGCACTATGGTGACCAGCATTGGTGGCACCATGGATTCCACGGCCGTTGTACGGAGTTTGGAGGCGTCGATGGAGGCCGCCGTGTACGCAGCCGTCCACCTCCCGCCGACCTAGACCCTGTGACCGGACAACCTCCCACGTCGGAGACCACTCTGTCCGGTGCTTCTGCTCTCGCGTCTCTTCGGTCTTCCACACGGAGGTCGTCGACCCTGCCCGCGACTCCTACAACCACTACGTCGTCTACAACGACGTCGGTCGCTCCGACGCCCGTGACTTCGACACCCGTCGTGTCGTCTGCGTCGTCTTCTGCTGCGAAGCCTGTAACGACGCCTTCGCCTTCGAAACCTGGAGGGTCGTTGGCGTCGTCTTCCACGCCGACATCTGCCGCGATGTTGACGGCGGCTTCCACGACCCCGACGACTGCGGCGTCGACGCCTGGAGCCACCTCGGTGTCGACTCCTCCGACTCCGGTCCCCGTTGTGGCGTCAACTGCGACCACCACCACATCCGCATCAGCTGAGTCCTCACTCCCGGGGCGTCCACGAACATCGGGTCCCGGCGGTCCGTCACTTCTCCGCCGCGCTGGGACGAACTCAGCTGCTCTACGTCGAAGCATCCGATCTTCGACGATCGTTGACACCGTGGCCACCGATAACGCCTTATCTATCTCGATTGGTGAACAGGGTCCTAACGGAGACTCACTTGGTCCCCTCGGCACACGTTCTCGCCCTATCGTTCTTCCGGCCTCGGAGGATGACGACGCTGAGATCGGTCCATAGCCCCGACAACGTCGACGCATTTCACCTCCGTGTTCGGACCCTGGTTCACCGAGTCCCGGCGGTGTTGACACGTCTTCTCCGCCTTCCGCCACTGGAGACCTCTGATCGGAAGGTGGTCCGACGGCGACGATCCCGGCGATGACGACCCGCCGGCCGGTGGGAATAGACCCACACCGCCTCCGTTCTTCCCTCCGGTGATTCCTCCATTCCGTGATCGCTCAGATTGGCCTCAGGACCGTGACGTACCGTGGCCCACGACCCTGCGTCGAGTGACTTTGGGCTCCATCACGGCGCGCGACATCCGTCACCTTTATCTTCCAATCCCGACACCACAGATCTTCCCTGAGACTGCGCCTCCCGTTCCACACGCGTGGAACGAATCTTTGGTGACCCCGCAGCTGGTGAATGCCTTTTATGCCACCCGACCCTGGGCGTACTTGGTCGTACGCGTACAAGCACTGACCTTTAACGTCTCGGACGCCCACTTCGCGATATTTCTGAGTGGCTACGACGTCCATCTGGAGCGCTGGGCGCAGGCGCTATTGGGAGGCTACAGGACTTTCCCGTGCCTATAACTGCGACCTGGAACGATTGGCGTCGTCGTCGCAATTCGCGTCGTTCGCACGCGAACGAGCACTTGGACAGCGTGATGCGATTCGTCGTCGCGTTGTTTAATGCGCGTCGAGCCGACAGGGATCTCCTGTTGGACGCCATGATGCTGTTGTTTCCCCTGCGACGGAGCGCTCTGGGACGCTGGTACCCTGGGACGCAACACGCGACATGGGCAGATGCGTTGGCTGACGTGGACACGCGCGAACCGTGGCGTCGATTCTTCCGCTCACAGCCCAACGCGAAGGGCGACTGTACCGTGACTCGCGGTCACCCGGCCTTCAGCGTGCATCGCCACGCCGGCAAGTTCATCGAGCGTGGTAGCCACTAGCTAGCGGGTCTCTAGTTTCTGTTAAGGTGACGAGCTTTCACCTTTAATCTCTTCCCCATCCTTCCATTATCCTTGCTTTGTCTATAGAACGACCCCTCGTCGCCCTATCTTCGGCTCATTAGCCGGCTCTCCTTTTTCCATCTTTCGAACCCTTGCCGCTCCCGAAGCTTGATTCCTCCTTTCCTCCCATCGGTGGCCTTCCCACCGACTTCGACGTTTACTCGCGACAATTTCCGGCTGATGCGTCTTCGTGAGACTGCATCACTTCGAAGCGATTTTGACCTGTGCGCTGTCGCAGGAAGTCGTACAGCAGTCCACCAAAGTTCAAATCCAGCTCATCGACCCAGCTCGCGTCCGGGTATCCCTTCCACTTCACCTTGAACTCGCGCGTCGCTCGTCCGTACCTCGTGACTCGCCCTTCTCGTACGTTCAGTATTCTCTCCACTTCGTATATTCCGTCGTCTAACTCTCGTGCCTCCCAGCTATCTTCAGGGAGGAGCTCCTCGTCGTAATCAAAACGCTCGTCCAACGGCACGGTCAGACGTAACTCAGGTCTCGACGGAAATTCCCGCACGGGTTTCAACTTGGACAGGTGTACAATCGGGAATAGTTGGTACGGAGTGTCACTCGTCTCCAATCGCGCAGCGTATGTGTTCACCAACTCCGCCACGCGGAACGGGCCATGCCACATGTGCGCCAGTGCACGCGTAACCGGGCTTGACGCTGTCAAGATAGAGCCAGACTTGGGATCCCTCGGAGATCGCGTGCTCCGTCGCCCGTTCGTTGTGACGTCGGGCCCGGATTTCGACAGCCTTGCGGACGAGCTCCAGCGCTTGTGCTCGGGCGATCTTGTAATGGCATTGAATTCGCAGTCTCCAACGACGGGCTTCTACATCACGTGTCGACGTGTTGCTCACCGCCAACGTCGCTTCGAGCGTGGATCGTGGGTCCCAGCCATGGACCAAAAAAACGGTGTCTCGTCCCGAGTCCTGACGTGGGCCGTGTTCAGGGTGTAGGTGAGCCTCTCTGCGTACTCATCCCAGTCGCGTTGCTCGACGTCCGCGATGTACATCTTTATAGTACGCGTGATGGTCTGAACCATACGCTCGGCGGCCCCATTTGCTTGTGGCCGGTACGCCAAAGTCGCGCGTTGCCTCTGTCCCATGAGCCTGTTAATAGCTCGGAAGAAGTCTGACATGAAACCTGGCTCGCGATGGTGACGAATGGCCTCACTAGCACCGAAACGGCAATTCACGGCTTCTTCGTACGACTCGGCGACGGTCTGCGCCGTCCGCGACGTGCTCGCTTTCTCTATGACAAAACCCGTGAATAGGTCCACCCATACCAGCAGCTCCGTGTTTCCCTTGTGCGACGCGGGCAACGACGGGATATGGTCCATCGCTATGACCTGGAATGGGTACGTCGCGACGATGTTCCCGGGTGACTCCCTGGGATCGTCGGTCTTCCTTTCCCGGTCTCGCAATCCGTACATTCTCCCACGTGGCGTTGCACGCTTCTGAACAGGCCCGGACAATGGAAATGTTGGCGGATGCGCTGGTAGGTTCGCCTATGCCTTGGTGCCTACCTTCCAAACTCGCGTGGTAGTGGTGCAGTATATCGTCACGAAATGTTTCCGGAACCACGAGCTTCATGATTACATCCCGGTCTTCGGCCGACTCGTTTCCCCGCACATGATAGTACGGCAACCCGCTTTCCCCCACCTCGTACTGGCTCGCGAGTTTGACACAGTCACGTACCTCGCGTTTCGACAGCTCGCCGATATTCCCTTCCAGGAATTGCTTCAGGTTGGATATCCAGAGCTCCTCTTCTTGTGCCACGCGGACACGGTCCAAACGGATCCGTTGCACTACGAGTTCCTGTAGAACGTCCGGCTTTCGCGTGGTCGTCGTTCGGTTTACTGCGTCCCAGGATCGAGTAATAACCGGGGCCATACGCTTCATTCCGGGTTTGGCTATATTCCGCGTTTGGGTCAGCTCGTTTTCCCGAGTTTCGGGTATGGGTCATGAGCACTCGTGGTCTGTGGACGTATGCCTTCCTGTAGTCGATTCAGCGTCTTGTGATTTCCCATCGCTTCGAGACTGTATGTGCATTTCCCTCCCTGACGTTGAAGAGCCTGTCCTGCCAACATGTCGGCGCTCGCGTTCCAATCTCGTAGCACATGTAAGAATTCGTGTTCCGGCCAGGTTCGTGTAACATTCCACGCTTGTTGCCTCAGGAGCTTTAACCCAGGCGATCTGCAGTCCATCTCACCTCTCATTTGTCTGATGACCAGGTTATAGTCTCTACAGACTACTAGGTGCGTTACGTCCAAGCCGTTGAGGAGCGAATAAGCGAGCAACATACCTCGGTACTCTGCCTCGTTGACCATGATGTCCTCCGCGTACCCCAAGGCCGCGCGTACTACGTCCCAGTTCGGCAGCTCCCAGACGATTGCGCTGAACGCTCCGCCTTCTTGCTTGACCCGCGCTGACGCGTCAAAGCTTACGACGTGAAGCCTTTCGGCCGATCCGATCTTCGGCACGGGGATTGTGGTCGTCCGTGGTATCCGTTTCCGAGGGGCGATCTCTTCCAGGGTTGTATCGACGTGTGCGCGCGGTGTGATGCACGCGGCCAGGGTCCCGAGGATTTCCTTTCCCCTCTCGTGGATCGCTAAACCTCCAACCTCCAAGGTGAGAGGATCGCCGCCCATTGTGACAACTGTCCCTGCAAACCCTTGGTCCGGAACAGCCATCCCAATGTCGTGTGTCGCGTAAGCACGCGTATGGTTTTCCCGACCAGCATGGTATACCCGTCGTTCAAAACTCGCAGCAGCGCCAGGATCTCATTCACGGTGATGTTGTAGTTCAACTCGTTGGGCTTCAGCGTTCGACTCGTGAACTTCACCGGCATGTACATGCCATCATCTTCTTGTGCAAGTACGGCCGAGATGGCCCAGTCACTCGCGTACAATATCACGACGGGTTGCTTCCCCGCATCGAAATGTCTCAACATCGGGGTCGTCGCGATCTTCGCTCGGAGTGTTTCGAACGCGCGTTTGGCGTGCACCCACTTTCCCTGGTTGCGGGCTTTTGGGTCCGTGACGTACTCGCCAAAATCGCGTTCCGAGAGCGAATATAGCACCGTTGCGTAGATCGCGAACTCGGGGATGAACCTGTGGAAATAGTTCAAGCTCCCCAAAAACGATTGCAGTCCCTTCAACGTTCGTGGGAACTCTAGCGTCACCAAGGATTCCAGGTTCTTTGGCTTCGCCCCGAGTCCGAACTCCGATACCTCGTGGCCCAGGTACGCCACCCGTGACACACCCCACTCGCTCTTCTCGACGCTAATCGACAGATGCCACTCTTCACAGACCTATAGCAGTCGCTCAACCTTTTCACACAGGTCGTCTCACGTTGTACCTCCGATCAGTTCCTCCGATCAGTATGTCGTCGATGTATGATCGTCGACCTAACACCGACCTCGTTCCGGGCTTCGCTGGATCTCCGTCATTGAACACATCGCGGGTGTCGCCGGTGGGTGACAGCTTCCAGAACCCGTACAACGCGTTATCTATTAGCCGTTGATATATCCGCGGAGCGTTGCACAGTCCGAAGGGCGTGTGTAGCCATTCGAACAGGCCGAACGGAGTGATGAAGGCTGATATGAGCCTGGCACGGTCTGTCATTGGAACCACCCAGAAACCGCTGGTCATGTCTAGCGAGCAGTACCACTTGTACTTGTCTAGGTCTTCAAGCAGGTCTGTGACCAAAGGCATGGGGTAGATAATCAGCTGCGTCAGACTGTTGACAAGTCTATAGTCGACGCAGAGCCGGATATCCACCCCGTTTTCCTTCACGATGATAACGAAGGGGGATGCCCATGGGGACTTTGAAGCACGGACCATCCGAGCACTGATCAGACCTCTGATCAGATCCGCTAGTTTCTCCCGAAACTGACTCGAGATTTTTCGCACACGTTGAGCGATCGGTCTCGCGTTTCCCACGTTGATGTCGCATGCTACGCCCTTGGCCGCAGGCGGAAGGGCATTTCCTATTCTGATCAGCCACTTCCGCTTTTTTCAAACGATCTGACGCAGTCTCTCCTCCATCCCCGCGGCCTCCTCCGGTTCGACGTCTGCGGGGCGCCCGACCTTCAAGTCCTCGATCTTGACGTCCGCGGTCAGTGGAATTTCCGGCAGCACCGCCATCTCGGCTTCCAGATCTTCGGTGAACAGCTCTGAACTCTCATGCAGGATTACCTCCGCGTCTGCGTTTTCGTATTCGGGGATGTCTTCGAGTTTCAGGTCTGGCGCTTCGACGTTGTCTGAAGTTTTCGTCGCTGGGCTCCCCGCGGGTTCCGATTTTAACACACCCGCGTCCCGAGTCTCCATCATCTTCTTCAGGCCGCCCGTGGATCCGCGTTCAACGGCGGTCGTCATCATGACGGACCCGCGTCGTTCGCTTCCTGTCTCAACCTCAGTCTCAGTCCGTCGCAGGATGGATTTCGGGTCCTGATACTCTCGTTGTTCCGTCATCGGGATCTCTGGGGCCTGGAACAGCTCCCCGTCGTTCACTTCGGCGGTTGCTCCGTACGCCAAGTTCTGCCATTCGTCGTACTTCCTTGACCCGGGCTGAACGAATCCAAACGCGCGGGGTACAGCATCAACTGGTGTCCACCAAGCGATCGTGGTGTGAGTGTCCAGGATATCTGTCTTCACACCGACATTTGTCACGCGAAAATATGTGCGGCATCCGACCCGAGCCTTAGTCACGGAGGCCACCCACGTCACCCCACGCGTTACCCATAGCTTCGGCGCCATCTTCTCGGGCCTCAGCGGTACGTCATATGAGTCTCCCACCGCAATGCGCGTCAAGCTTGGAATGTTCACCGCGGGCATCTTCGATCTGTACAGTGGCTGTCTCCCGATCAAATGAATACGAACCTCATCCGGGAGACAAGCGGTGCCGTCGGCTGCATCGATTCGCACTCCCGCTGGTACCATGAAGTCCATCCCCAGAATTGCGTGCTGACCAACCAGATCCCCAACCCACAGGTCCGCGTAATATACCAAGTCTCCGGCCAAGGTGATCTCGATGCGGATTTTACCTATTGTGAAATACGTCTCGTCGCGGATACCAACGCACTCTTGAGTGACGCTCGTATCGATCAGGCAGCCTACCTCACGAGCAAAGGTGGTGTCCAAGATGGGCACCTCGGCTCCTGTATCGAGCAACAACACTGCTTTTCGATTGTTGAGCTTTCCGTGGATCTTGGCCTGTTAGTACCATTTATCTGGCGCGAAATGTTTCCAGTATCCGCGTCGTTCACCTGGCTGTAGGTCAATCACGTCCGAGAACGCCTCGCGTGCGTATTCGTCCCCATGCCGGATGGCCGCAACTCGGGGAACACGTTCGTGCGCGGTACGTATCGCTTCGGTTTCGCATGTATTATCATTCAATGTTGCCTTCCGCTTTCTAACTTTTTCTCTTGATCACTTAACAACATATGCATAGACGGACATAGATCGCTCGTCTCGTACAGGTTTCCACGCCAGCGAGCGACCTAATTTAACATTTTCTCGGCCGTGGGTGGGAGCATACCCGCGTGCTTCTGAGGGTCGAACCACTGACGTAGCTGGTTGAAGAACTCTTCCAGGGTGCACTTCCCCGCCTCATGCACGTCGCCACATGCCTTGCAAGCTTGCAGGCATTGGTCGGTTGGATGTTTTCCGGCGCACTTCTGACACGTGAGCAGGCTCCAACAGTCTCCTTCTGCGTGTCGACGAGACCCGCAGTGCTGACACTTCGGGCGATCGAGTCTCGCGTTTCCCGAATCAAACTCGCGTCGCGGGTTCTCACCGGGCGGTGCGTTGTCCGTCACGAACAACCTGGCCCGATCTTCTTCATCACGGCCTTGCTCGCAAAGCTGGTCATCGCTGGCATACTCCTCGCGTTCCGAGTCGTATTCGTCAGTGGCCATATGGACGGCGTGCACAGCTCGAGATGGCGACGGGGTCGTCGCGGGCGGCTTTTGGCGAAATTTGTTTGATCCAAATAGGGTCTTCATCTGATGAGCCAGTCCGCGTTGACGGGCACGTAACTTCTTTTCCAGTGTGGTCGCGTCGGGGACTTCCATAAGCGTGAGGCGTGACGCTAGCTCCTGGTCTTGGGATCCCAGTGTGTTGATGAACAGTTCCACGTGATCTCGCTTCTCTTCTGGGCTTCCGTCGGCATAGTGAATCTTGGCCCGCATTCCTGCGACGTTGAGGCGATACAGGTACTCCAGGAGCGTCTCATCCGTATGCTTCGACGTCTGGTAGTATCGGCTAGTCATGGACACCCCCTTGCCGCAGTACTGGATACGGAACTGATTGGTCAGCTCCGTCCAAGACTTCCGTGTCGACTTCGCGAGTTGTAAGT